TCCAAAAGTTGGACTGCTAATTGAAAAAGAGTTCAGGGGAGCCCTAGTAAAGTCCAAAGAGAGTATTTGTCAATAAACCAGGACCAAAAAGACCAATTAATTGACTGATTTTCTCCCACAGTAGTGTTTCTAGCAGTTACAAAAAACTCACAATACTGAAAGCTCTGGAATAGGAAAAAGATTCAGCTAAAGACATGCTAAATTTTCATCTGGTTGGCAACCTTCCTTTGACTCGGAAAATTCTGATCTATGAACAAGAGACCCAGAAAGTCTTTTACATTGTAAAACATTTGCAAAGTAGTCTCATTTTCCCCTCCAAACACCTAGTAATTTACACCTAAGCCAGTTTAAATTCATTAGCATTTGCCAAGCACACTCCTCTTCAAAAGCTTCAAACTGGGATAACAACCCAAATGCAAAGGTAGGTCTCTGACCCACCACATAGGGAAGGTTCACTAGCAGACTACTGCTCCAGCTGACGCTGAACCTATGAAATGGATGTGCAGGAATATGTGGGACAGACAGAACATAAATAATTTAACTTGAGAGGAGTACTCTAACCTTTCATTTACAGTCATTATTTTCTTATTCCTATAGACAAAAGTAGAAAGTGTCTTATGTGCCCCAAAAAGGGAAAACAAGCATCATTATACTGCAAACTTCCAAATAACTAAAACTAGGATTAAGTATATCATTTAAGAAATTGAGATCATTGTCTTCAGTGAATTAAGCTCATCACAACAGATGATTTTGGTTTTCTCCCTTTTTTCATGTTAGAGTGATACCAATCAAAAATGAATGAAATAGGAAATAAAATCTCTCTCTTTTCCCACCCACATCAATTTATCTATATAGGGTCCAAGATGAAACATGTATAATATATTTTAACAAACCAAATGCTTTTAAGTGAGGATTAAGCAATTCAAATTTATTAAGGATTAAGCAAGAGAACTTTTATTCTATTTTAAAAAGCATCAATGTGTAGCAACAGGTCTGAACATGGATTAATCTACTTTCCTACTTCCTTTGATTAGTTTCCTCCTACTGCTATAACAAATTACTATTAATTTCATGGCTTAAAACAACACAAATTTATCTTACAGTGATGCAGGTCAGAATGGGTCTCCCTCGGTTAAAATCACAGGGTTTTGTTCCTTCTAGGAGCTCGAGAGGAAAACCCATTTCCTTACCTTTTGTAGCTTAGAGGTCTGTGCATTCCTTGGCTTGTGATCTCCCTTCTGCCAACTTGAAGGGCAGTAGGGTAGCACCTTTACATCTCTCTGACTCTGACCTCCTCTAATGCTTCCCTCTCCACTTTAAAAGACCCTTGAGATTACATTGGCACCACCTGGTAAGCCAGGACACTCCCTTTATTTTAGCTGATTAACAGTCTTAGTTCTATCTGTAACTTTAATTCCCTGTTGCCATGTAACATATTCACAAATTCCAAAGACCAGGGTGTGGGCATCTTTTCAGGGCTATTATTCTGCCTACCATCTCCTCAGCATTTCTTGGGGAACAGAAGACAGCTGTGCACTATTGCCAGCTCTGTGAGGCACGCAGACCCCTGCAGCGGCTCGGCAGACACTGCCTACCGAATCAGCTCAACACTATCTTGCTATTGTCACAGTAATACCGGAAGGGCTGGCAAAGTCCAATCCATGAAAGACTTTGTCCGCCTGAGGATTCCAGACTTCAATTATGGAAAAAATGTTGATCCCAGAAGGGTATCTGTTGTTCCTGGGAAAACAGAGTGGGACTGTAGGGAGACGAGTGGGAACACCAGGGCTTTCCTGTTGCTGTCACTGTCACCACTACATTTCCATCATGGCAAACAATTATGGTTTCAATGTTTGCTAATGGAAAATAATTCTGAAAACTATCTCTACTTAATCTTCATAACAACTCTGAAATAGGTCTTATGTTTCTATTTCACAGATGAAAACCTGAGGTTAAGAGAGAGTATGTAGCTTATCCCCAAAACATACTCTGTAACAAGCACAGTTAGGTTTAAAGTTTACACCTTTGTTCCCAGAATCTTCTTACAGCTTCTTGAAGGCAGACTTACTGGACATTTTCAAGCTGAATCGTCCACATATCTTACCTGCATGGGCCCATTCCGGCACTGAATGAATACAAGGAGGTGGCAGCCACCTGCCCAGTCTCAGAGCACTGCCCCTCTCGGGGCCACACCACCAGGACTCCAGACAACACCCTGGGGAGCCTGCCAGAACACCTGCACCCATCTTGACCTCAAGTAGAAGTAACCCAAGGAGATGCAGCTCCATTCCATGCTTGGTGACCATTTTTACTGGGGCCTCCTGGCCTTGTAGCATCCTCCCGAATGAGCTAGACCATAACACGTGAGGATAAAGGGCTAGAATACTCAGAAACACCACCTGGAAAAGGGAATTTGGAGGAATTACTGTTGGCACATTACCAACAGGAGTTGGGAAGCCAAAATAAATTGCTAAAAAAACTTATTAAACCATCCTAGAGAAAAGACTAAGTTACCTACCTATTCATTCTATAGAAAAATGTTCCAAAACTATTGCCTCCAAAGAAAAAACCAAAGAGGTTGTAGCCAACAAATGTATGGAAAAAATATGGAAGTGGGACAAGAAATTCTTTCTAAATAGTTTGTTTTATAACGTCATCTTATTTTTCTGATGCGATGTCACTGAACTGTATGAGCTGCAGAACCCAGAAAACCTGGATCCACACCCAACTACAACTATAATTTAGGTAGGAATTGATGAAGATGTGAACAAAGATAATAGGGATGATGAGTAGAGAATGGATTGATAAATATTAAAATGGTGGTGTGGATGGGACTGATAGGGGTGGTAATTGAGAAGGAATGGTTGAGCCTTTTCCTAGGATTCTGACTTGAGAGACCAGATGGGTACTGGTGCAATTCACTGAAAACATTTTATAGGAGATGGAGCAGATTGGTATTGAGAGGCAAGGTGAGTTTTGTTTTTCAGATTTTTATTTTGGAGAATGTGTGGCATTCAAGTAAGGATGTAGAAACAGCAAAAACACAGGCTGAGTTCAAAAAGGCTTGATTTAGGGATATAGACTCGGAAGTGTGAGGTGTACAGGTATATTTCAAACCATTGATATGGGTGATGTTTATTCAGCAAATGTAGGAAAGGTGTTCAAAGAATCAAATAGGCATGGGGAAAACATGGAAAAAGGACTATTTAACTGAAAGGTAGAGAAAGAAAAGCTAATGAGTCAGGGCTAAAATTCAAAATATTCAATAGCCTATATAAAAGTATAAATGGATCCATTAATCAAAAGTATTTTAAAACACTTTTTAAGTTTCCAAAGAAAGTATCTAGTATCTATTTCCCAAATAAAATATCCATATATCTATCATCTATCTGTGTCTATCTATCCATCTATCATCATCTATCATCTGTCTATTCTTCAAATGATATATGATTTACTGCAAATAATCTACCAAATTATTCTGATGATTTTCAGATCCCTTGTGGAGTTTTAAAAGTTGCTGGTGTGACCTTTCATTTGATGTAGTTATTGCTGGCTGAATGACACTTGTCTCTGAGCTGTGTGTTGACATAGGAACACTAAACTCCAAAACCTCCCCACAAATCTGTAGTCATGAGGTGACCTTGAATTTCACTCATCTGCTCTTGGTATCAGTGGCACTGTTCACGGGCTTGAATCATCTTGGGGCTTCTGCTGTAATAACAACAACTGCATTAGTTTTTTTTCTATTTATACTATGATATTTTCATTTATTTAATGTCTCTGTTATTAATTAAGTCATGAATAGTTTATCATCATGTCATATTTAACAAGAGTGAACCTAGTCCTTCAAGCCAGGTGAAAAGCAGTATAGCATGGTGATTATGAGATAGAGATCTGTTGTGTACCTGAATTCCATTCTTGACTATCACTAATGTTTTAAGTAACATCTCTGTGCTGCAATTTTGTAATGGGTAAAAAGGGATGTTGATAATTATAGAACTCAAATGAGTTCATTTGTGTAGAATCATGCACAGAACATAGCAAATACTATATAAGCATTAATTCCTGCTTTTATTAATAAAATTAACACTGTTAGTGCCTGTGATGGCTAAGGTTTTTGAGAGTTTTAAACTTGTCCACTTAAATGGAGTGGTAATTCATAGGGAGAGTGAAAGGTAGGGAGTATAGGACATCATTATTTTCATACTGCCCATGATCCATTCTATCCTCTGCAGCCACCTTCCCATTGCTTGTTGTCTATGTGGTATAAATACAGGCAAGAAGCTATGAATGCCTCCCGTTAATGACCACACACCTATATTTTCTAGCCTCTCTCCTTCTTTCTCACAGCCAAAGCTCCATGTCCATGGATTCTTCAGTTTCCACCATAACCTTTGGACTCTGGGGGAGTGCTAGTTGGCAGGTGAGGTCTACTGATCCCTCTGCTGGTATCTGGCCAGATGCAAGGAGGGTAGGTGCAGTATGAGAGCCACAGAGGTAGAGGACAGACAGGCAGGTGGATGCTAGCTCTACTTGCAGTGCATCGCCCCTAGGGCTGGCCAGGCCTGGGTGGATGGTATAGGAGAAACAAGGGGAGTTCACTGGCATCCCTGTGACTGGGTGGCTGGGGGAAGGGGAGGTATGTTAAAGCCAGTGCTTCCTACAGGAGACTTTTAGGATTTGACAGGCATGAGCACCAATCAACCTTTAGAGGCCCTGAGGGTCTCTGAAAAGAGTCCTTCCATTTAAACATCGCAACATACTGGAAAAATGTTCATAGCAGCAACCTGGGGCCAAAGCCCCACACAGTAGAATGGTTCAGTTCTTAATGACACAGAATTCAGTCCCCAAATACCCAGATGCTTTCCTCCCTGGAAAGACAGACTGGCTAGCTTGGTAGCCCCAGTGAATACTCATCAGGGTAGACTGACCATCAACTGCTTCAAGAGTTTATTTATAGACATAACATGGCTAAAATGGCAGTAAGGAATCACACAATGAGTGGTTAACATTTTTATTTCAAAAAGCAGGATATTGTATATAACACTTTCTGAGAAAATAATTAAGATACTGTAATTAAATGATTTCTATGTTTTTCAACACAATAAGGGAAGTACAGAATCCTTGAAATGTTAGTTTATTTGAACTTCATAGAATGAAATTTAATTGGGTGATTTAAGGGGTGATTTCTGCCTTTCATAAAATAAAAGCTCTTTTGCAGGTTTTTGTTTATTTAAATTTTATATCCTCAACATCTATTACATGGGTTTAGTTTTTTAATTTAGAAAACATGTATTGTATTTAAATAATTCTTTGAGGACTGCGTGTGCCATGAAAGGTACAGCTTCCTTTTTATAACCAATAAACACAAAAACTTTGACACAAAAAGTGGTGGAGCCATTTAAAAGTTCTGTCTTATTCAAGTAGAATAAAGTTTGATATTCAAAACAGATTCTTTCTTGAAAATTGAAATAGCTTCCCATCCGCCTAAAAATAGAGGAAAAAAAGAACAAAATGCAGAAACATATATGTTATTCATTAATTCCCACTGAATTAAAATTTTTGCTTGCCGTGGACTAAACATCAGAGCCTTTGCTTTATTCTGACTATAATCATATAACCTGTTTAAAAATGAAAAGTTTTTAAAAATTTTCTTATCTTCACAAGATATCTCCTTTGTCCACAATTTATAGACCAGTATAAATTTTGCATCAAGTACATATAGTATGCAGATGTAAGTGATAAGATACATTTATGTCCTTTAAAGTTTCTGGTCCTACACAGACACTTTGAGTCCTATTAGAAACATGGATATCCAGATTTATTCTGGAATCTCTCTCTGTTCATCAAGCAGTGCATTGCAATGTTTAGCAAATTGCTTATCTCTTTTCCCCTTTTCCTTGGACCCCTGCAAACCCAGTACTGATTTTTACTTATGAGCTTCATCCACTTATAACTTTATAATACTGTGTCTACTATATTTAAAAGATGTTGACTCAACTCACTCAACCACACACATATAAAAAAACTTTCCATTTTGTAAAGCTAACATTCATTATTAAGTATTTTAATATACCATAGAACTTTCAGTTTAGAATTTTACTTATAATATGTATTTTCTACTTAAAGCTATCATAAAAATGAGGACAATATCTTCTCTGATTCCAAAACCATCAAAGGAGGTTTTTAAAAGTACCTCTCTAAACCCCAGGGGTTTAGCGAATGAGTTGGGGAAAATAATTTTTGTTTCCAATCTGAATATACCAATATATCCCTCTGACTGAAAAAATGTGAGTGACGATATTAGCACTCATGTAGTTATATAGCACACTGAAGTAAAGCTGCATTCTATCATGTCAATTATTAAAGTCTTATAGGCAGGTTGCTTGATTTATCTCATCCCACTGTCTATTCAACAGCTTTCCACTGTACCAGTTGTTAAGAAAGATTCACAAACTGTTGCTGCCTTCAGACTATATACTATAAAAGGTAGATGAGAAATAATTATATGTTGTACCGAACATAAAAAATGTGTGGCTTCAGAATATGTTTTTGACATAGAGTCTGCCTGCCCATTGTAGAAAATTTTGTCAATTTATGTGAAAATATTTATTACCTGTAACCATAGATACACAAAATCAATGTGTGTGTTATGTAACATTATGTCAGTAATGCATTTGTTACTGTTTTGAGAATTCTTTCGGTCTAGATTACTCTCTGCCAAATAACTTTTTAAAATTATACTAGGGCAAGTGATTGCTATGCTGCATTTGCAATTGTAATGATAATTTTCCTGGGAATACTAAATTATGCCTTAATTTTATTCAAAAGCTTTTATTTTCAAAGCAATTAAACTTATTGTTGATTGATATTTACCATCCAATGTTCCTAGAACACTACAAGAATATGCTTTATACATAATCTTCCATTATAGCACATTGCTTGAGAGTAGCTATTTGATATAACAGCATTCAGTTGAGTTTTCAAACCAAAGAACAAAAATTACAACAATTTCACTTGAAATCCATAAATCCATGCACAGGATTGTATTCAACAGAATCACTAAATGCTATTTGTTATTCAAAGATGAATGAATCAACAGAAAAATAGGACTGATAAATCATTAGTACTTTAATGCAGAATGGAGAGAGAAACTAATAAATCATGCACTTCAAGCACTTGTTCTCTTTATGGCATGTTTGAAAACATAAAACATGCAAGGATGAAATGCAGGTCAATATGAATGAACAATACCAAAACTGCTCAGAATAGCATTTCATTTTGTATCATAAGCTTAATGAAACACTAAGAAAAGTACTATTCCATAATTTCTTTAAACAATCAGAGAATCTAACCATGCCATGAGCACCTTAAATAATGATCTTGGCCATTATTTCCAAATAAATACTTAAAGTGTCATATAGATGGGAGAGGAGCACGTGGGGGTGGGCGGTGACCACATGCATGATTTGTTTCGATGAGCTCAACATTATTATAGTATCAATTTATACTAGATTGAAACTGACAAAATAATTTACTTTCTCAAGAGTACTTAACTGATTCATTAAAAAATTATAGACACCTATATTTATAAATGACCAAAAAAAGCAAGACATCAGGCTATTGAGCTTTGATTGTGTTGTACGGTTCATCTGTGAAAGGTGAGAATTTTAATTGTAATTAATGGGCAATTCACTCTCTTCCAGAGTTTTAGTCATCAAAAATTATTCATAAGAATGATAAATTTTCTCTACAATACTAGTTATATATCAACCTATTTCCCTCAAGCATCTTTTTGTGAATCTTTGGTGGGAAACGTGTCTATTAGGCACATAGTTTAAAATAGCTATTTGGTTACTGGTGTGGTTATAAATTTTCTCTTAGATTCACATGCACAAAGGAATAAGCCACTTCACTGCCAAGTAACAAGTTTTCACTAATTTCTGTAATTAAAAAAGACTCAAAACAAAACCACTTTCTATTTTTCAGCACTAGAAAACTTTATACCTGGTATTTTAAATTCCACTCAGAAGCATTAAGATACCAAAGAAAAACTATGTAGATACAACAAGATATCATAGAGAACTATTTAATGAAATCTTCAATTAAAAGTTTCTCTTCAGGTCATAGGTCAAAGATCATTGACACACTGTTGAATTCTAAAAGGGAAAGTATAGTGTTCTGTGAATGTGATCACTGTAGCATTAGTGCTTATTCACAACTGGAACCACCCTGAGACTCACAATTCTCAGGGCATTTCCTTCTTCATGTTTCACAGGTTTTTCTCACAGGTTAGTAAATGAAAACTGGGGAGGTATGTGTGGGAGACATAAAAATCTATGGGAATGCATGCAACAAAAATATGCAGTATCACTTGATGTACACTGCCTTCTTCATGCAAAGATGCCTATAAAAACTGAGACAATAAATATTCTAATAGCTGAATTTTACATTAGCTGAGTAACAAAAATTGTTAAACCAATTCCATTTCTCATGAGCAGCAGACTTGACATGGTTCAAAGATGTCCACCATAAGTGTTCCATGGCCCAATTATGCTAATTGATCTCTAAGGATGAAATGGTAAAGGATTATTCCTTGCTTCGGTTTCTTGTTCTTTTGACGAGGGAGCAGAACAACCCGGTTTTTGGAGGAGGGCCCATCAGCATTGGGGCTTGGTTCTTGTGTGTTATTTTTATCTGGGGGGAAAAAAAAAGAGAAAGCGAGTAGAATAATCTCTAGATATAATACCGACTTCTGAGAATCTCTGTTAAGGTTAATATTCCATGAGTTAATGAAACCCTAAGTATAAAATGTGGTTTCAGGGTCTCTATTATTTCAAAGATGTTTTAAAATGAGATAAAGAATTGCTTTTAAACCATATTTCAATGACCAGAGTATTAATAAAATATAAAAAATAAATCATATTTTAAATATGTTACCTCTAAGGTCACTTGTAATAACACTCCAAGGTGCCTTGTTAGGCTACATGACTTTCTAGTATAACTAACTGACCACTTGAGACAGGAGAGGATGTACCATTACAGTATTCAGAATTCCATTTATAGCCCAACGTCAAGATGTACTTGTTGTCAAGGCAAGCCTTATTTATCTTACTAATCAGATTGTTTCTCTCATTCAACACACAGAACTGCAAGTTTCAATTTCAAAACAATCATAAGGAATGAAAGTCAACGTGCACAAAAGGTCAGAAATGATGAACTAGCTTTCTAATTTGTTAATTAATTGGTAATCGAATAGGATCAAATATTGAAAAGCCTGCTTAAAACACTTTGAGAGACTGTTCTAAAGCTACTCGTTTTGATTTCTTTGATATAAAACTACGAATCACCTTAAATGAGACAACCTTAAAGTAGATTATATCTGCAATTTTCTCTAATTCAAGTCTAAATTAGAGAAGACATTTTATGAATATATGCTATGCTCAAAGCTAATTGAAAGCAATTATCAAAGTGGCATTTTGTCTGTGACTTTAAGATACATTGTAAGATAATAAATGATTCTCATTATGTAATAAAAAGGTCACATCTTGCCTTTGGGCTAGTGATACTAAGAGTTTTTCGAAAGCAATCTGAGACATTTTCTTTAGAGAACTGCAACTAAGACAAGAGCCATCGCCTCTTAAATATCAGTTGTCAGCTGCACAGCACCCACATCGGAGATGAGTATTTCTTTCAAAAAGAAACACTACCTCATTAAAAGCTGCAAAAATATATCTCTTAAAGTGCATACCTGACATTTTCAAGTTACAATGAATATCCTTCACTTGTCATTCACTAATAGCAATAAAACAAAACAAAAAAAATGTGTATCACATGGACAGGATCATTAAAACTGGTACCAGGGCTTTTGGGAAATGGAGATTTACTTCAGAGTCTAGAAATATAGAAGTATGTCAAAAACCTGGAAAAGGTTTTTATTTAACTCTGTAGGAATCAGGCTATTCTGGGAAGATTCAGTGTCTTCTCTGTTGCAAAGATAAATTGCACCTGTAAAGGCCACTCGGCTAAACCAGCCCAAAACTCTCGATATACGATTTCATTTTATTTTAGTTATCTTATGAACTGAAAAATTGATAGCCAGATAGTAAGATGCCATGATGCACCTATCTATACAGGCTGAAAAAGATCTCTATTACATATTCTCTCTTAATAATTCATCTTAGATTACTGTGCTTTATGCCATGGATTTTTAAACTCCTCAGAGTCCTACCTTTGTACAGTATCTAATACAGCATCATTCATTCATGTTTTCGTTTCACAAAATTTACTGAGTCCCTACTGTGCTTCAGATACTATACCAGGAACTTTTAATAGGCAATGCATAATCTCTGCTCCTAAGAAATTGTAGTCAAGTAAGAGTAATTTAATAAGCCTATTTGATCGTTATAGAGGCTGAAATAGGAGATTAAGCAGGAAGGCATTATTATTTTAATGCTGAAAATGAGAGTGAATGTTTTTATACACAAAATAATTTTAAAATAAGTACCTGGGGTAGCAGTTATCACACTTTACTTAAACGAGAACCTTAGATTCAAAAAACATTAGCAGGAGCTAAAGTAAGAAAGTACACATTTCTGACTCATAGCCACTAAACTATATCCTTTAGAGGGTACAACAGTATTAGAACATTTTGGAAAATAAGATCATTACCATCAAATTTTTGTTGGTAAGACTTTGGAAGAGAAGTATCATTCTAGTCGCTTAAATCAGGTTAGCATCAATTTATGACAAAGCATAGCCCGAATACTACAAATTATTGTGTATGAGATTTTGTGTGTTCTATGTGCCTTTTAGGTTTTGAATTTGTTTTTTCATGGCTATCTTTCTATTGGCAATCCTTTTTTGAAAGAAATGTGTCATTACTTCTTCAAAAAATAGCACAGTTTTTCATTCAGTGCTCTTGAAACAAGGGGATCTGACTCCATGCTACGGACTAACAGGGAATTCTAGTTTTCAGTTTCAAAGAAGGATAAGGGCCGATCTTATTTAAAAAATGATCTATAACCTGGCCTTTTGGTTGTTTAATCACTACTATGGTCTAAGTACAAAACTCTTTAACACCTTTTCCATAAAAAATAATATCTACATCTTTTTAAAATCTGTTGTTTGTAGAAATGAGAAACAACTGGCTGTGTTTTCCTCTTATTCAGGGGAGACAGCATGGAGGAAACTAGCACTCATGGAATGTCTATTATGGATCCAGGCTCTGCATATGTTATCTCATTGGATAATTACATGTCTTTGTATACTTGTGAGGAAGCAAAAAAATACTCCATTAAGGATGAAAATAATTCCAGTGCACATGAATTGTTAGTATGGTAGTCAGAGAGAGCCCAGGTGTAGGCTTCAGAAAGCTGTAGAGACTTAATTTCAGGTTCTGATTGCCTGTTAAGGGGCCTCACCAGGACTGGAATTATGACTCAGATGACGATTTTGTCCCACACTTGTGTATTTTTATTTTGTATTTTTTGAGAACCTGTGATCTACTAGAAAAACAATAATGATCAAGGAACAAATTTTTCCCTCTTAAGACTTAATGTATTAAATATTAGCAATCTGAAGACACAGATCATATATTAGGCTCTGTTAGAGCACTTCCATTTTTCAAGAGCTAGGTAGTTACTTTTTAGCTGTTCCTCAATACATCAAATATTTATTGAGCACCAGCTATGAGCAGGGCATTCTGCAACTTGATTTTGATTGTTTAGTTTGGAAGAGAATCTGAGCTTGTAATTGAGAGAGAATTGAGGGCAATCATAAGCAATGGTAATGGGGTGCCTAGAGGCTGGAATGGCTGCACGAATTTTAAGCACTAAAAGGGCATTGCTTTAAAATGTAAGGTATATGTAATGGTTGTCAGCTATATAATGGTGTCTTCCTATAAAAACTCTTCATTTCTACATATCACCTACTCCTTTGGAAAGTAACAGCAGTAGAAAGACAGGCACTTATACTGCCCTATCACTCTTTCTACTTCTATCTTTCTATTTCAAATTAAGATTGGGCATATCTAAAAATAGAAACATGAAAAAAGAGACTTCAGTTTCAGTTTTATAATATTCAGCATTACAGTGAAATAAAGATGCATACATAGAAACCAGATCAAGGATTACAGGAATAGTTTTCTCATTTCTATCACATTGTTAGGGGTGCATAGTGTGCTCCACATTATAACTGTAATATTAAGAGTAATAATAAGAAAAATAACAAGAGTTGGACCTTATCGTGTGCTGAGTATTATGCTAAGTGTCTCATACATGTTATTCAGATACTTCCTGTTTCACCCATGTCCTTTGAGTTGCTCTCCACAAAAGTCTACTCCCATGGAAGTATTATTGAAGAATGCAGTTTTGAAGTATGATTTCATAAAAGGGATATAAGTGCTCCCTGGCTGAGGCAGGTGAGTGTGAACAGTTGCAGAATTCTCCTATGCCCTAATTAAAGTCAGTGAGCACCAGTGGTTGGGACACGCCCCCAAGTCCCCTCACTCCCTCACTTGGGCTGCCACGCATGAGTAGTTGTAGCATTCTCTCACTCCCAGCCTAAAGCTGGTGTACTTGCACAGACAAGGCCCTCTCCCACTGCATTGCTGAAGCCAGCAAGTGCACACAATCCACACAGGGGATACCCTTTGATTGTCTGGCCCTTGTAGCTAAGATGGCTGCTGTTCCAAAGCTCCAAGTGACTGTAACAATTGTAAAGACAGTACTTGGCAGGGCACCACCCCCAGGGCACTGCACATACAGCAGACTGAAACACAACCCTAGTCTTCTTGTGAAAAAAAGCCCCTGTACTTAGACTGGAGCTTCAGATTAAGGGACAAGCTTTAGGTTTCCCACACATCTAGAGAGTAAGGAGGCACTCCCAGGGAACCTAAACAAGGAGACACAATCCTGTGTACCCCATTAGTCTCACTACAGTTGGAAAAGACTTGCCAAATAGGAGTTTCAACACTTGTCTGGAACCCCAATTATGACAACTGCCACCCAGGAGATACCTCAAGATCTCCTGGCCTGAAAGCCAGCAGGGATTATGATTGTGGCCACACAGTACTGTATTTATGTGCTTACTTTAAAAGCTGCTGCCTGAGGGTCTGCCTTGCAATCAGGCTGAAAATAGATGCTAAAGGAGATTTCTCCCCTTGTATCACTGAGAGATCTTGCCATACTCTCAACAATGGGGGCATATCAATAATAAATCAGATGGTTTACACAAATATAAAGTTTTGAAACACAATCAAGAGCTAGAGCAAGGTTGAATAAGAAGGTATCATGGCCTACACAAGGCCACTGCTTCAAGATGGAGAGAGGTATCTCTTTTGTCTAATACAAAGAAACACACAGGGAGCCAAACAACATGAAGGATCAGAAAAAAATATGTTCCAAATGAAAGAAGAGACAAAATTTCAATGAAAGACCTTAAGGATATGAAGATAAGTAACCTACCTGATAAAGAATTCAAAGTAATGGTCATAAAGATGATCACTGAACTTAAGAGAAGAATGAATGAACAAAATATGAACTTCTACAAAGATACAGAAAATAAAAGAAAGTATAAAATAGAAGTCACTAAGCTGAAAAATACAATAATTGAACTGAAAAATATACTAGAGGGGTTCAATACCTGACTGGATGAGGCAGAAAAATGGATCAGCAAGCTAGAAGAAAAAGCAAAGA